TTGTTAAGCTAGAACATTCTTATACAAAAAAGAATTTCTATGAAGCGTTCAATGAGGACGGAAGCCCAGCGAGACTGCTTCTATTCTTACTTTTTCCAGTCTTGCCATCCGGTTCTGGTACCTCAATTTCTCTTAGTGTTCTTCCACTAAAATCTAGGTAAACAATTTCTCGGTACTTCTGGTTGTAAGCCATAACCTTCAACAGGCCAGTTCACAAGAAACTGTGGATGTGCTAAAACTTTTGATGAAGGGCTAAAGGCAGTAGTGGTTGACCAAACGAGTTTACGGGATTTCAAGGAGTCGAGGCACTGAGGAACTGATGGATTTAGGGTAATGGTAAGGCCATCTCTATTCCTTAGCCGTATCCTCCCACTCGCGGATGGCTGCGATAGTATCATTAAAGAAATAAAAGTATCTTGTCATTTAAGAAACTTATTGCTCCTGAGCGTTGATCGCCTCTCTTAAATTTGCAAGCGCAGACGGGTGTGCCCAGCGCACGTCGTGCGCTGAAGCTGGTTTTTCACTGGTCTTGCTATTTTTACCAACGGGAAGTCGAGAGAGAGCTGTAATAGGGCGTTTCCAGTCTGCAATCGCCAGCAACCAGTGGCTGTTTTAAATTCGAGAGAGGTGAAAAACCCCAACCTTGTGGCCTAGTTAAAATTCTCTCAGAATAGCAGCGATTCATTTGATGAGTTGACTGACTGATCGGAAGCGATGTTGAAAATAAACAATGAGAAACAACGAAAATAAGAAGAAATCCAGTGTTGTTAACAAAAACTGACAACATAAAAACCATCGTAAGTTGAATGCGTGTTCTATACGTCTAAGCCTTTCTTTCTTAGGGATTAAAAAGTTGCTAGTACACAACATTCGACGTTTGTTTTTCGACAACTGTCGACAATTACTCAGCGGTGAAAGAACTTAAGGAGATGAAGATTTTGTGGATCTATAGAAGGAAGTTTTCTCTATCACGGCAATCGCGTAGATTGCTTCTGTACAAATCCTCCATTTTTAAATGTATTTTAAGCTCAAATTTCCAAGTAATTAAGAAAAAACCAAATTAAACCTGTAAAATTTCCAATGTAAGCGCGGAAGCTCGAAACACGCATACATTGGACAACACCAATATACATTCTTAGGCCAAATCTCTCTTCGTCAACTGATTTGGTATTCAAGATGCAAGAGCTAAGGCAAAAACTTTAAGGAAGTGTCCTACGAACTTGAAAAGTTTAGAATCCTATTCTTACAGGTCAAAATAACATGTATATATTAAAACAACTGATAATAATAGTAATCAAACTATAGTGCGTCTAACATGTCTTATATCCTCTGATGGTGGTGAAGATCTGGAGTAGACCTTGGCCAGGTTGGCCTCGGGATTCCTGGGAGCCACAATGGCTTAAACAGCATGTTTCCGAAAAATGGAGATTATGTTGGAGCCCGCACCAGTGAGGACAGACCATTCAAGTATCAAATAAGTATCAAGTAACATTTCTTATATGAGCTGCGACATGTTGGCAAAAGTTTCAAAGCAGCTATTCCTTTCACATAAAATGCATTGTAACCAAGGCATGTCGTCCGATTTACGTCGAATGCCTTAGAAGACAACGTCACAGTGGACAATTTGAGCTAAACAACTGATTTCAGCGTGCAGAAAAATTTGTGGATCTACTAGCGAATCGCATCTGGCAATTATTCCTTACTACGTTCGATATTAAATACCTTTTATCCAATTAATAAAATGAAAATTTTAGGTTCTCTGTTTTTAAAAAATGAGCCCGTAATGTGATGGCCTAGTTTTACTTTCCAATTTTTCGTTTTTTTTTCTTTTCGTTTCCGAAGGCTCCAAGTGTCCACGGCTTCCAAACCTGCAGCAACGAAGCAAGAAGGAAATGGCATCTGCTCAGTTAACTGCTGGAAACTATATAGCAATCGTGGTGACGTTCTTAGAAGTTCTATCGTTAACAGCAGACTTTAGAAAAGAAAATCGATCTAAAACTCGCTTGCTCTTTATCGAATTCAACACAGTATTTTTCTGCCATTCAACGGTTCCACCAATGAAAAAACACGCTTCGCACAACTCTTATATTAATCATTCATTGCTGTCTAATATTATTTGCCACCAACATAGAAAATTCTCAGTGACGCCTTTACCAAATGTTTAGAGTTTCTAGCCATAAAATCCTTCCCAAAAAAGCTGTTCATTTCTGGATTGCTTCTAGAAATGCATTTTGATTGTTTTGTGATTGATTTCTCTAGCCGAACTATAATTGAACGATTCAGTGTTGATAAGCTGTACCATAGGATGAATGAAATCCCAGTTATAATGGCTTTTTAATTCACGACATAATAATCACAATAGGCGTTATAGAAAAAATAGACGAATATGCAATTCGTTTGTAATCGGTTTGATGACAATAGGTTGATGGAGAAATGAGAATTCCGAAGTACTTTGTAACATTACTACTAAGGAAATCAATGACATCACCTTCCTATTTACATCTAACTATTGATGCCTTCCACAATTTTCTGGCAAACTCCTCTCACATGAAGGTCGCGCAAGTCGCTTCGCATCGGTTCTTTACGCTCGTCAGGAAGCGACAGAGCAAATCTATTCGTGCCGCTCTGAAGTTGCGCATGCTTTAAATTACGATTGTTTACTATCAATAGGCTTGTTGTTAAGCTACCACCAGTCCCACCTCTTACACTGTCTGAAGAACATGTTTTCAAAGTCGAATCTGATTACGGTTATTTCTCTCTCTATATAAAGCATAATAGGTTCCCGTGATCCTGCAACCGGCTTACAGAACATTCCTCACTAGCATTTTTCGGCCACTTCTTCACTTTTCATTCCTTCACTCGCATTTGACCTATAACCGTCCTCTATATATGAGCTGCGACGCGTTTCAGAGTAGCGTTGTGGTCAGCTGCATTCACTGCATAGTGGTCTCCTACTCATGCAATATCTTTGGTTAGAGCACAAACTGCTCTATCGGAAAGCGCAGTTTTTGATTGTCTTCAAATAACAGTTCATTGTAGACTTGTCCACCAGTGGTCGTTTTGCCGTATTTATTCTTGTATCAAAAGTAGGAAATCACCACTTTCGGTGTGAATCTTCGCATCGGTGTGTCATGTGTACCTCACAAAACAATAGTAGCCCGTTTTCTACGTGTATGAGCTTTATCCCAAAATATCAAAAGTGCACGTAGACAAACATGAAAGCATTGTCTTTTTTCTGTAAGGCCGTTCCATTTAAGCAAGGCGGATGAATTCCATGGTACTCTGCCATTTCGTGGAACCACTCCCGAGAACTATGGTTGCCATTGTTTAATCACGCAAACGAAGAGAGTCTCGAGGTATCTTCCGATGAAGATGTGTTGAGAGGAGAATAAGGCTGCTATTGCCTTGGTGTGTGGCATGAAGTCCAGAAATTCTTCTGTGGTGTGCTACCAACCACAAAGGAATGTTTGACGTAATTTTGCCTGAAGCTTAAATCTTTGAAAACAGCGCAATACCGAATGTCACCGGGGCTCTTGGTTTTTTTTTATATTTAGTAACTTAACGCCCTATTTAGACAGAGAGGCCTAATGCTGTAGCTGGATTTAAATCCGTTTCTTCTATTTCTTTAGGGCCACCGCGGTGTTATCGTATTGACGTTTGCAAAGAATCAGGATTTTGTAATATCCATTTCCTGGTACGTCTTTCTTAACTCGAGGAACACTTCATTATGATACCTCAGTCCAAATAGGCTTAAGAACAGCCGCATGCATCTTGAATAGTCTATTCGAATAATTCATTTCTTCATTAAAACGTAATTTCTTCTTCAAAAGGTCGTTTAAAAGCAAGAGAGGAAATTTCAGTAGCACATTATGTCGTTGATGAACCACACTGTTTTTCGCATGAACGTCGTTAACTGACATACTGACTGGTGTTCTGAAAATCTACCTCATAGAGCCTCGAAACGTCAAGTAGAAATGCCCCTTACACTAGCAATTATTTTCTTAACCTCATAGTAAACTACTAGAGCTAAATTTCCGATGATATAGTGAGCCATTTAACAAATTACAACCATAACGAGTTTCGATTTTCACTTATCAGACTAGTATTCTACTAATTTCTAATAATATTTTTAAGAACGAGTAAACTCAATTCGTCAAAGGAGAACTGTTCAGCGGGCTTAGCTCTCTCAAGGGACACCTAATTTTACGTAAATTTGTATAGTACCACTTTCGTACGTTCGTACTGCTCTTAGCGGGAAAGTAAACGCGGGTAACGTTCCGGGCTCTGCCGTAAAGTAAATGCAGATATCAGTGTTATTCTCATCTTTGATGAACCTCAAATCTCACATTCGAGTTAAGATGGTTGGTAGACAATTGTGAGTGCAAAATAGAAAGTAATTTTTGACGTTAACGCTACATACAAGTAATGGGAAAACTGTTTAGTATAGTTCACCTTCTACTGCGCTAAGAAAATCAGAGTTCTAGAGAGCCTTCTAACGGTCGTTCTGTGGTCGTTAAGTGATTCTTGCCTTTTCATGCACTGCACTTCTCATCGTCCTCTGATCACTAAATACTGTTATTGTTCTCGAACTGATAACACTGACCATGACAGAGAATCTTTCGATATGACACCGCAGACGTTCACTTTACAACAGGCAAAGGGTAAAATGGAGAACTTTCATTTTTCACTACGAAGTTTCTTCAGAGTCACTGTTCACTTACACGGTATTCTAGCTAGTTGTCTGCTCTTGACTGAACACTTATGTCAAATACGAGAAACCACATTCTACTTAGATCCTCTTCATTCTGTGACAACAATATTAAAGCTCTTATTTTGAACCTAACTACTGATTTATTTAAAAGGATATCATACTGTTCAGTATTAACTGTCACTGCGACAGGCTTTTAATGTATAGGAAAGGCACGCTGCGAAAGTGCTGTGTTAAAAAGTGATCAGCTGAGCGTTTAGTTTTGTCTAAAGACGTGCATATCTCAGAAGATATGGTTCAAATTTGGCAAATGGAGCCCTATCCATGTGGTGATCCGCGACTACCGCACCATGTGTTTCCGCCGAAGATGATCACCCCAGATGAACTGTCCCGAAGAACAGGCACACTTTACTGGAAGGTACGAGAAGCACGATTCTTAACAACTCTAGTTATTCTTCGACATAGTTGATAAAATATAAGGAAAATTTTTGCAGTAACACGTGAAAATATTGCACTCATTTGGAAGAGCGCTTTGGTGTTTAACTTGTATTTACTACTTCCTCTTGAAGATTTCGCTATGCAATTGATGAATGTTTTAGCTCGACACATTGGATCAAGTAGCTCTTTCGAAGAGAGTGAAGCTATTGAAGATGGAACGAAATTTCAACAAAGAGGACATTTTCACTCTTGACGCTGAAACAACGGCCAACTTTAGAGATAAGGTACCATCAGGAATGAGAATCTACCTGCTTATCGAAGTAGATTAATACCAGTTGATCAACTTTACGACAAAACTTATACTTCCACAACGTTGTGGTTGTATTTCGCTTAGTAACCTGCCATAAAAATTATAGAAGGCAGAAAACAAAACGTTAAACATTGTGATTTCAACTACAGCCATAGCTTAACTGGGTTCTATGCCGATTTGCGCTCCCCAGATCAACCCCGCTGACGGGTGATTGCTGTGGCAAAAAGATCGATAGAAATAGCTGAGAGACGTGCGAAACAAAGGACCCGCATGGTGTGGTGGTGAACGCGTTACTCCCCGGAAAGGATAATAGCGCGTTCGTTCCCCACCATAGACACCTGCGGTCCAGAGTTTTGCAAATATCTCAGCAACGTTGTGGTTGTATTTCGCTTAGTAACCTGCCATGAAAATTATAGAAGGCAGAAAACAAAACGTTAAACTTATACTTCCATTTGAACACCGCCGCTGAAATTACTCTTTGCCTACAGTGGTGATCAATTTAAATTCCTTTTCACGATGCAGGGTGTGCACTCTCCCTGATTTCCCATGAAAGAACGAAGATCGCCTATTCTTAGACGCTTTAAGTATACTGGCGCATTGGCCGACTACGAAGACTTCTTTATGACGTAATAATATGAGGAAAGTCTCCTAAGGATGAAGTGATGCTTTGTTTTTACAGTCTCTAGCAATTACCATTAATTCAGTTTAATTCTACATTAACGCCAGTGTCAATAGAGATGAATAATATCTTAAAACATTAATATAGATTGACGAGCTGTTCGAGGAATCGAACCATCCCGAAGATCAGGCAAGGATGATAATCGAAGGATCCGCTTACTATGATGTGGAGGATAAGGTATATAAGAAAAATACTGAAGTTCTAAAAACTATTAAACTAAATCGAGGCAATAATAGATCACAAAATATGGAATTTCGTAATTTTTATCAATTCACGAAGAATGTGAAAACAAGGGAATATTTTGTTCATTAACTGTTCTTCTCTTGTGTGGTGCAGTGGCCAGGGGCGCGCTGCAACAAACACATGGAGTCAATCTCCGCGCACATGGCCCACCAAACATTCCATTCCTCCGAGGTCTGCAAAATGGTGCCAAACTTGTCTGGGAGGCTAGCAGCACTGGCTCGATATATCGGTAGGCCACCGCAAGTTATTGTAAAGGCCAGATCTGTGATCAATCACCTCTAACGATACATAATGAAGTCGAATGCGTGGCGCATCCCTCAGAGACTGATCAGCGCCGAAAGCTTTATTTATCCCTTAACTGCTCTTCTTTTCTATGTTCTGCTAAGAGAACGTTGCTTTGAAGTGCCTGCTCTTCAAGAAAGTGTCTCTAATTCTGGAAGTCAAGCAAAGAAACGTTGTAGAATGATAGGCAAAGACATATTTGTTACTTCATATTTAAGTTCACTGTACTCATCATAAAAGACAATGAATGATCAGTTAACCTAAAAGTGGCCTGCAATGAGTGTGCTGAACATGGGGTCCATTTGCACCTCCACAGATTAATTGGTTGCTCTGATCTTGATGAATGGAGTTTTTCCTAGTTTGAGTAGTGTGAAAATTGAGTATGGTGAAATAATAGTACAACGATGAAGACATCTTGAGCAGATGTAAAATATGTTTTTTATGATTATTACTGTAGTTATTGACACTGAACGTTCAAACAGCATTTGAATAGCATTTGAACTCGCCTGCTTCTCGTTGTTTGGTAAACCAATTCATTTCCATGTTTCATAATGACCCTTTGACGCCCTGAAAATATGATATTATCGCGATATGAAGGCTGAAGGAAATCGTCCATCCATTTGGTCAAACATCTACCTGAATGGCTAACACTTTATGAATTGTAATCTAGTACTGCCAGTCTGTGAGCGTTGAGAGAAAATATCGACCTACCGAACCCGCTGTTACCATTAAAGGTGAGCCATGAAAGGCGATAGTGGTGTAACACGATGGCCGCTGTGATCCCGCGCATACCCTTCCCGTAATGAACAACTTGATTTTTTTTGTCCCAAATGAATGGTGCTCGTTCGTTCTCGTCAAACTTCGAACTTCCAACGGATCGACCAAGGATGCAATCACCATCATGCAAAATTTCGAAACAATCCGTAGTTCCCATGACGGTTGCTTTAATATTCATGTCCAATTTTGCATCTTTTTAGCTTAGGATGTCTGCGATGGAGGATGAGGATTTCTTCGTACTGTGGCAAATCTTTACGTTCACGGTGTGATGAGTAGAAATGTGAAACTTCTTCTTAATCCGTGATAAGCTTGATTTTCACAGCATCATTTTGACGATTTCACGTTTACACGCGGTTTCACTTTTTCTTAGCGATAAAGTTGGTGAAGAAATCATGCGTTGACTGAACGTGTTTGTGAATATTCTCATCGTCATCGACCTCTTCGTACAAATAAATACCCGCAAACAAATATCCAAATCTTTTCTCATCGTATCCTTAAACTGCTAATCTCACCCAGTTCACATAATTGTTGACCAAACGCAATGAAAACCAAAATTAGTCAATACGTACATTATTTGTTGGTTCTCATGATTTTCTCCCTAGTGCTAACATTTTATTTGTTCCCTATTATATTCTTTCACGGCAGGCTGTAATGCGAAATACAACCACAATGAGGCTGAGATATTTGCAAAACTCTGGACCGCAGGTGTCTATGGTGGGGAACGAACGCGCTATTCTCCTTTCCGAGGAGTAGCGTCATGACGGGTGATTGCTGTGGCAAAGATCGATAGAAATAGCTGAGAGACAGGCGAAACGAAGGACCCGCATGGTGTGGTGGTGAACGCGTTACTCCCCGGAAAGAACAATAGCGCGTTCGTTCCTCACCATAGACACCTGCGGTCCAGAGTTTCGCAAATATCTCAGCAACGTTGTGGTTGTATTTCGCTTAGTATCCTGCCACGAAATTATAGTAGGCAAAAAATAAAAAGGTATAACATTGATGCTGAGATATTTCCAAAACTCTGGACCGCAGGTGTCTGCGGTGGGGAACGAACGCGCTATTACCCTCGTCCAGAGTTTTACAAATATTTCGGCACCATTGTGATTGTATTTCGCATTATACTCTACCGTAAAAATTTACAGCAGGCAGCAAATAAAAAGTTACCATAGTGATTTTAACTACAGCCTCAGCTTAACTAGGTTCAATGCCGATTTGGACCCTCCAGATCAATGCCGTTGGCGGGTTATTGTTAATGGCACTGGTCGATAGAACTATCTGAGAAATAGGCGAAACGAAGGACCCGCATGGTGTGGTGGTGAACGCGTTACTCTCGGGAAAGGACAATAGGGCGTTCGTTATCCACCGCAGACACCTGTGGTCCGGAGTTTTGCAAATATCTCAGCATTATTGTGATTATATTTCTTCCTCGTTTTGACCATATGGACTGAAAGTTTGTTAGTTGACTCTCCTCGAGCTAATTAACTAATTTTCTTGCTGAGATTATCTGTTGTTGATAACTATGAAGCAAAGTAACTACTTTTTAGAATGGCGATTGGGTGCGCATTTTGTGCGAGTTTGGCGACCTCATCCTAATACCCGCTAATACGTCGTTCCGCTTCACTACTACGCCTCAGGTGAGCAGAGAATTTCTCTTCCTTGCCATCGTAACCCTTCTTTATTTATATTCTGAAGTGCAATTGGATAACGATTACTTCCTGAATGTCCTTTTCTTCCAGAATTTTGTCAAAATGCGTAGATTCTACAAGGAAGGCGACGAATAGCAACATACTACGAGAGTCACAGAAGCTGTACATATGCTACTTCGTCTTCTCATGTGCTGCTGCAAAATCACAACGCTTTGTTTAACGAGAAACGTTTACATTCCTTAGAACCTTCCCGCGTTGAAATCTTCGGTTCTTTTCATTTTCTCATTGATAAAGTTGTTAGACATGAGCAGTTTATTCTGCAGTACAAATAATATCGGAATAACATCAAGTAACATGTTCGCAAGGACGCGTCATTGGCGTGATTAAAAGTGGCATGCAATACACACATGGATGTTGGTTCCTTCTCGTTCACAAACAGATCAAGTCGTCCATCCTCCAACACGCCCATACTACAACGGCTAACAAATTGGAACAAGGTTTGCCTGGAGAGAAAAAGCACCAACATTGTAAATCAGTAGGTTCCCGAAGTCCATTGCATCAAGCAAACATGCATCCAGTCACCTCTGTCACGCCATGAATAGAGTCGAATTTATGGTGTTTCCCTAGTGAGTGAAATAATACATTGTTGACGTGGGACTAGGAGCATGCAACATACATTGGGATTAACCGAATCACGACACTTATGGAATTAACCACAATGATGCTGAGATTGTGATTTAGATTTTCATCTTCCTGTATGTGTTAATGGAGCGTTTGACAGTAAATTGCTATCAGTATACCCTTCCAGGCTCTGAAGAAGGCTAAATCAGCTGAAACATCAGCTTTAACGGAGTAAAGAATTAAGCAACACCTCGTGTTTGCTCAACAGGAATATCGAGGTGCTTGAGGTAACTGCAAAATTCCAGACCGCAGGTGTCTGCGGTGGGAACGAACGCGGTAATACGCTTTCCGAAGGCTAACACGTTCACCACCGCACCATGCATGTCCTTCGTTTCGCCTGTCTCTCAGCTAGTTCTATCGATCACTGCCATCAGCAATCACCCGTCAACGGGTTTAATCTGGGGGAGTCCAAATCGGCATTGAACCCAGTTATGAGGCTATAGTTGAAATTCACAATCTTGACTTTTTACTTACTGCCTTTTGGAAATTTTTACGGCGGGGATATTATTTGTGAAACAGCCACAATGATGGTGTGGTGATCAATGTGTTAGTCTCTGGAAAGGATAATAGCGCGTTCGTTCCACACCGCAGGCACCGCAGGTCCGGAGTTTTGCAAAACAGCATCATTGTGGTTGTTTCACAAATAATACCCTGCTGTAAAAACTTGTAAAAGGCAGTAAATGAAAAATAAGTACTTATATAATTGTTATTTTTTCACCATTAGTTGATCTGAAATGACGTGTATAATGGTGTGCTGATCACGGCCCTACTTCCATTAAATTCGTTTTCTCGCATGCACCATTTAGAAAGGTTTCTGAACTTTCTTGCGTGTGGATTTTGTCGCCACTTAAGGATTTTTCGTCTTTCGCACCAATGTCATTGAACACTGGTCAAGTCAACTTTCCCTGAAATCCTAAAATTGCCGTTCTAGAGCGTTCCTACCTAGTTTCGAGAAACAGCTCGCCTCATAAAAGTTTGGCGGTAGTTTCCCCACCGCGGAGAGATTAGAAGCTTGCTGGATTTGTGACGGGATTGAACAAGCGCCTGTGTGGGTTGGGCTGTCAGTGCTGCGAGCAGGATCACAACCATTACCACCACTACGCTGCGCTATTCCTATGGAATACTGAAGTCTGACATTACTGGATAACAGTGTTGCCTTAAACAGCAGGTCAAACGGAAAAAGAAATAAATTTATTTGAAATTTACAAAGAACGAAGAGTTGATATAAGGAGCAATAACGAATAGAAAGAAACAGTCGAATATGCAAAGGTGTTTAGAAAAGTCTATATAACATCTGGACAGGGCATTGTCACCGCACCTGGCAAAAAACTTGCAGATCATGTCCAAACTAGATTCTGTAAAAGAGTTTAAGATACCTGTTTGAGAAATTTTCGTGATTTTAATGTTATTTTTTACATGACCCATCATTACATCTGCTGTGAGGATCCTAGCACTACTTCTTCACTGCTTAACAGAGGTTGCTTTCTACAAAACTTTCATACTCGATCTGAAGGTTGCCCAGTAGAGATTCTATGCCAGGTGTCGCTTGCAAAAAGTTGTTCTCTATGCTTAACAGTTTACAAAAGAACATCTTTTGACGGGTTTATTTTGTGGCGAACGACTATTGATGTTGTAGAGAGCATGCACTGTAATGATCTGGCCACTGAAGAGGCGCAGAAATGTCTTTACATGAACACTGGAATTCGGCGCTCACGAAGAACTTCGCGCTATGATAAAGTGATTTCATTCAGAAGGTTTTTTCAGAGAGGTTTGAAGTTCACGGTGTGTACTTTCAACAAAGGCATTCCGCACAGTTTGTCTTAAGAAACAGTCACCGAGTCTTACCACTTTTTTCAGTTCACATTTATTTAATATAATCCACAATCCATAAAAAGGTAAAAGGACGGAGCTCTCGACATTGATCAGTCCCTGAGAGATGCGCCATGCATTCGACATCATTAAGCATCGTTTGGAGGTGATTGAATGCATACCTGGCCTTTACAATGTCTCGCGATGGCCAATCGATGTATCGAGCCAGTGCTACTATCCTCTCAGACAGGTATAGTACCAATTTGCCGACCCCATAGAGATGGAAGGCATGGTGGGCCATGAGCGGGGATCGATTCTATGTGTGTGTCGCAGGGCACTTCCGATCACTGCGCTATTCGCGGCCTTTCACAATCTACATGCACATGTAGCATATGCATTCTTCATGCAGTTAGCAATCTAGTATACAGCTCGTAACTCTTAGCGACGGTTAAAGACTATGCTTTCGATCACCTACAGTTTTGATGAGTTGGAGAACGGTCGCATTATGAACTGAGCGCACAATGATAGCCTTATTCTTATCTTTAAATTTCAACAGCATTACACAGTTCCGATTCTTTTGCGCTCTCACTGCATCCTCTTCATCTTACGGAGGATGACTTGCCTGGAAGACTTATTCCTGTTTTATCTACAGCAACCAATAAGAAGGGTCTTTTCTCTGCAGTAGGTCCTCAGCCAACCCAAGACGCCTAACTATCGGTATAGACAAGTTTTCCTTAATCCAAAAAATTATAGATGACACTACGCTACTTCATCAGTCCATTGCGCACCACATCGCCAGTTACGGAAGGGTTCCTTCCAGCATAGACCAAAATGATACATGTGTAGCCAGCTCTCGAGCACAATTTGAACAACATAGGTAACCTAACTCGCCTTGAATACTCGGTTCTCCTTCAACGTTTCTCAAGAGTCACTGAACACAAGAATATGGTTTTTCTGCTGAAAGCTGAACAAAATTCTGCTTAATTATTGAAGTTGCTAATTTTTAGCCTATTGCTCCATCATCGAGTCAAATCCATGCGACCCCTGGCAACCTTTGAACCTTTCAATAGGTATGTTTCAGCTCACAATGAATTTTATCAAATAATTTATTCGGCGAGAGTTTCGACTTATGACTTTCCTCTGATGAAGACGAAGACGTCGAAACGTTGGATAAATAAATCTTTTCGCCAACTTTGTGTTAACTTAACAAACCAAAAAAGTACTGATTATTAACGCCCAGGTTAAATGTCAGTCGGGTTGAAAAATTTCACCAAATGAAATAACGAAGTACTAAATCTATAAATTTTTGCTAACCAGATGCAAAGCCTGTTCGGCAAAGTGGAATTTTTTTTTAAGTTATAATTTCGAAAAAGCTTAAAATGAGAATTCCACTTTGAAGAAGCTCTAAGTTTTAACTAGAGTGATACAGCAAAGTCTTTTCCACAAGAATGTCAGGTTAAACTTTGCAAGTCCTCTAGGTTTAGACTAATGCCCTCTCCCCTGAGTCTAAGCTTAAACCTAGAAAAATCAGGAGATATCATCAAAAAAAGTCATCAGCACTTATGAGGGAAGAGCAAAGATCTACTTTTGACCAGTAAACCACCGGCTTTTCTCTTCCATCTCTTACGATAGATCCATACCTATCGTACGGACAATCGGATATAAGAAATATCTCCGTACAACTAACAGAATTCGCAAAACCACTCCAAATTCTGAGACCAACGCATTTGGTAGGTGAACCACAGTAAAAAATGTAGCATAGTGCAGCAAGAGTATACCTCTAGATGAATAAAACAAAATCTCTTTCATAATTCGGCAATATTCTCAAGCCACAAGTCTTCCAAATTTCGAGAATTTATCGTTTATTGAGGTAAAAAAAACCAATGCTGTCGTATTCAAATAGCGGACGAGTTCACGATTTTCTTGCCCACCGTGAAATCGACGGTGGTCGGATAAATGTTAAATTTCTCACTTGTGCTGGGTGCATACACCCTACTACGGTGTCTGAAATTCGATATTGAACGTAAACATAGTGAGAAAAACGTTCCAAGCAAGGTTTTCCATGGAGTTGATGTTTTTTTTACTCAGATTCGCAAATATGTCAACGTGTCGGCTTAGATGGGAGACGAAGGTCAGCCACGTGGTCACACCCTGCTACGGTTTCTTTGAAATTTGGCAAGGAACGTGAATTAAGTGAGGAAAACGTCTCAGAGCAATTCAATGAAGTTGATGAATGTATGTTTGAACGAGCAAGATGAAATCAATGACTAAATTTGATGAGATTCAAAAGCATGAGCCAACAAAGCAATAAAGTAGAACGAGACATGAAAACTACTAAAAGTTACAATTTTAACCCTTTTATTTACTGCTTTTTTCTTTTTAATGGCAGGGTAAGTTGCGAAATATCACTCGTATATAATGCTGAGATATTTGCAAAACTTCGGACCGCAGGTGTATGCAGTGGGGAACGAACCCGCTCTGTTGTCCTTCCCGGGGAGTAACGCACTTCACCACAACACCATCCGGGTCCTTCCTTTTGCCTCTCTCAGCTAGTTCTATCGATCTTTTTGCCATCAGCAATCACCCGTCAACGGGATTAATCTGGAGAGCCCAAATCGGCATTGAACCCAGTTAAGCTGAAGCTTAGTTATAATCACAATCTTAACCCTTTTATTTACTGCCTTTTTCTTTTGAGAGACAGGCAAAACGAAGGACCCGGATGGTGTGGTGTTGAAGTGCGCTGCTCCCCGGTAAGGACAACAGCGCCGGTGCGTTCCCCACCGCATACACCTGAGGTCCGGAGTTTTGCGAAAATCTGAGCATTATATACTTAAAGTTAGTTAACATATTAACACAAAAGCCTAAACAGATAAAGCACCCCGTGCTGATCAATAACTGAGGAATGCATCTTACAACCGACTGCAATAAAAGAATGATGAAGCGCTCTCGGTGTGTGCATTCGACTTCGCTAAGCATCGTTTGCACGTGATTGAATGCATATCTGGTCTTTATAATGGCTCCCTGTGACCTACAGATGTATCGAGCCAGTACTGCTAACCTCCCAGGGAAGTCTGGAACCACGTTGCCTCCTCGTAGAGATGGAAGGCTTGGTGGGCCAAGGGCGTGGGAATCGATCCCATGTGTATTGCATGGCGCCTCCGCCACTGCGGCCACACACGCACGTCATCTGACGCCAAAAACAGGTGATTTAATGGGCACGGACAACTTTTCGAGTCCAAGATTCTCCGTGTTTTAACGTGTGCGACAGAAATTTGGTCGCTACGTAAGCAGAATGATACCCTTATAGAACGTAAAGCAAAGCGAAAGCACGGCGGCACAGAACGTACAATGGAAAGGACCATCCTAGGTGTATCCCTTACTGCACAAGCGAGGGCAGCAATCCGAATGTCCTACGTCAATGATTCATAATAAAAGAGAGCATTCCACACGCCAAATAATCGGAGATAATTTGGACCGGACACGCAGTGCGCATGAATGAGAATCGGTGAACAACAACGGTTAGCGGCTGGATTCCTTGGGTTGGCAGGAAAACAAGAGTATGATAAGAAGTTACGACTAACGCTAAGCTTTTTTCGCCTAAATCATACTACTGCGACAGCTACTGCTTCATATGGCACTGGCGGAACTTTTTTGACTCGTCGAACTTGTTTTCCAATGGTGATGGTAAGCAGTCGATAGTTATGGTGTAACAACGGTAGAAGGCTGCTACCGTTTTTTATATAGGACGGTATACTCTTTCACCGGCAAGATGTGTTAGTATAGCACAAGTCTGACGCTGCTGAGCGCTTTTTTGAAATCAAGAATTTACTATAAGGGACTGGTGATGCTTCCGATGGGTTTTGTGATCTCGGATACAGTCTCGATAGATACAGGTAGCTGAACAGTAATATCCCAAATCTGTTTATTACGATGATTCAGCTTCCTACCACTTTCTTGACATGGTTGCTTGAATAAATCCTTGAACAGCTAGAATGGAGTCTGTGGAGGCGGTGGTGTTATCAACAGCAACAACGAGAAGTTATAGTAAAACTATTTCTATTGGTAGAACGTTATACACGCGCAGTATGCGACGGAGTTTCTACATCTGGATTCACTTCCAGCTGCCTCCAGCAGTTCTTTCTGTCAGATTCGGTTTCGTCCTCCTTTTGAGGTCTTCAACAAGAACTAATTATTAAAAGCTTTGCATGAGTTTTCCCTTCTTTCTACAAACTCGGTCGTGAAAACGAGTACAACAACAGTTATTAGATTTTTTTAGAAAAAACTTTGTTCTCTTTAGGATACATCCTTAATGTGCTTGGTACGCAAGAAAAGAATTCTGTTCAGAATATTTCCATCATACACGACCGATGTTTACCTTCTCGAACGATGAGGTATTTTCCTCGTAGTGGTTACCTCTGCGTCATTCGTGTTGTTAGATGACCTCTATGTCTACATCTACATACTATTCCATTTCTACATTTTCTTAGAGTAATAAGCTGATACGACGTCAATGTAACATCTTTATTCGGCTAACCTAATGACGCCTTTTTCTTCTTCAAAGTCACGATGATTCGAATTGATTACCCACCACCGTTTGTTCTGGTGTGGGTTTTGCGGTCGCCACGGGAAGGATCTTGTGGAGGTGAAGGCATCGCTTGTATGATGTCTCCTCATTTGGTGGAGTCCTTTTATAAATAACGGTTGTTGAGCTGTTACCATCCGTTTCGGTCTGTTTTAATTGAAGCCGCTGAAAATACATTCATTCTAAATCCAAACACCAACTTCTGTAGACCATACCAGTAATGTCCTCTTTCTTTCCAAATGATGATTTTTTTAAAGAGCGGTGCTATAAATTCAAGAAACGATCTACACTCTTACATCGGCTTATTATTCCAATTTATTGAATAGTCCTACGACATTGGCTTGTGTCGGTGCTTTTTGCCTTTCGTACAACAACCACTAAAAATTTAACCAACTTGTGGCTTCAAGAAAGGCGTCATGATCGGCGTCTGAGGAAACTGTTTTGGTGTTATAAGTGAAGAGACTAGGGAGATTGTGCTGGAACGATCTCAAGAACACTCATGATTTACTAAGTTTTATACGTAAGAAAAATACCTTTTATTTTCTTTTTTCTCATTTCCATTCCAATACCTTAAATCCACCATAAATTAGTGTGGCAGAGCAACAAGAAGAAAAAAATATTAAACAAAACGGCGTGAAGGATGAATACAAAAGCTTGAAACTCTGGGTAGGAGGAAACCGTCAAAGTTTAAAGGGACAAAACCCATATCATTTTGCGATTACCCAATTCAAATCATAAGACCCTTTTTGCACCATTCTATAGTTACAATTATTTCTTCTAGCTAAGCTTCGTGATAACTACGACAGTCACAACGTAAAATTTTATGCGGGTCCTTTGTTTCGCACGTCTCTCAGCTATTTCTATCGATCTTTTTGCCACAGCAATCACCCGTCAGCGGGGTTGATCTGGGTCCAGAGTTTTGCAAATATCTCAGCAACGTTGTGGTTGTATTTCGCTTAGTAACCTGCCATGAAAATTATAAAAGGCAGAAAACAAAACGTTAAACATTGTAAAATTTTATATCAAACGCTATTCAAGGTGCGATACCGTACCCCATGAAACAACAAGCAAAAAACTTCTTTGAATGCGAGTAGTTCACCGACAGAAAACACTCGGTAAAGGACTGTTACTACTAGGTCGCCATCCAGAAAGACGTGAAGCCAAAGGGATCTAGTCGAAATTCTGCCTTCCAAGGTAACAGCTTCTGACAGCACAATATTCGTGAACAGAGTAGGTCTGAACAAGATTTTGATGAACTCACACACTAGCGAAGAAACCTGTTCCCGTTACGATACAGCTGTGAATGGACCTGACAGTAAACATAGAAGAGGATTCTGTTTATATAAACACATTTTATATCACATGGAATAAATGCGCACAGTCATCCATAACCATACTAAAGCCTAAAAATAAAGCCCTAAATTTTTGACATTGATTTCTCGTATCCCACATTTTAACACTTAACATCGAATATATTCTAAACAGTACTTCTTATATTGTTGAACACCCCATGAAGTTACATGTAAGGCGTAATACGCAGTGAATTACAAAAAATTGCTATTTGAACATAGTGTGCAATATAAGTAACAACTGATGAGCAAGATATTCATTAGTTGGCGGCCGCCCATTTTTCCAGCTCTTCCATTTCGGTGTCCAACCGTCGAACTTTCTCTCGACTGGCCCGCGCTCGAGTGATTGGCCCAGCAGGCGCGTCAGGTAGCTCAACGGTAGCTGCACCATTCTGAATCTATCCACTTACATTTAGCTGTGCCTATGAAGTAATTAGAAACTGCGGCTGTAATGTATCCCTCGCAATTAACGGTCGTAGTTTGTTTCAGTCGTTTTTCACTCTCATTTTATGCTCATGGGTTTCTTCACTGTACACATAGGATGGGTAAAATTCAGAAGCTACAACGAAAATCGCGATGTTCTTTCTCGAAAATATCGCACTCTTGGAAAAGCCACCCAAAGCCTCGCCTTTTAGTCCTCAGAATTTTCCTAAAACTTGGATAAAAGTAAAGTTTTACCTTTTCGAGATCCTCAAGTTCGCCGAGCAACTCGTCCTCATCGACTACGTCACCGATAGGTCGGCTTATTGCTGTTGAGAATTCGTCCGACAACTGGAGACCTTCCCCAATCTCATCCATTAACTCTTCCACCTAAAATTACAAAGCTTGTGTCGTAATATCAATTGTCGCTTAAAACCAAGTATATGACTTGACTTTAGAATCTATATTTATTCACAAGTACTACATTTCTACTTTCCTATTTTTGAAGAATTCTCAACTACCAGCCTTCAGTAATTAATTCTGCATTATGCAGAGTATAACACATAGCTGACTTCCCAACCCAGATGGCGACTACCAAGGAGAGAATCAGCGCTTTCATGGTACTTATTATGTCAAAACCAATGGGTGATCAGGGAAAAGTCCGTCTTCATATTCCAAAAATACTTATATTATGAATATTTAATGCACACGACATGCAAGAAATCTGCTATCTTGTGGGAATACTATCAATCTTTCTTCATTATCCGTTTACCACGAAGACCAGCAACTGATTTACATACGTTTCGTTTTCCATTATTTAGATGCATATGGTTTTTCATTCCCATAGTTTAGGTGTGCATGGTGTTACCTCGATCTTGTCAACGAGATCTGATTGATGAACACACGGAGGATCTACAGTAAAAATGCAAACGAAACCAGGATGGAAGATTACATGGTCCATCCAGCTTAATTTGAGCCTGATTCAAATTCATATTGCAATACCTACACGCTGAGCTAATAACTTCCTAGAAAATACCCCAATACAGACATGAAGAATAGTTGCCAGTTGCAAAAGACGAGCAAGATACCGGCCATTTAGAATGCCTAAGAGACAATTCAAGCAAATCAGCGCTAGACGTAGCTAATATAAATAACATTTCTGCTTAGATTATATCGCTAGCAGCCAGATGTTGTAGATGTTAAAGAATATAAATTGCAATTTTTAACACAATTTTTTTTAAGCGTGGCGCTCGCAATATGAGTGGAAGGTTGTGAAACCCGAGTTGTGAACGCCCAACCCTTTTATAATCGATAATTTTTTCTGGCCTCGAGCTTGAAGCTGTGCACTACAACCTCATCCATATTTTACCATCTCAATAAGTCGCAAAGGTCGACTTGATATCAAAACTGCTGCAGAAATAACACTTGGGAATAGCATGTATCACATATCTTTAGTGTCCTGCCAAGCGCAGTGGTTTGAGGTGCTTCAACGCACAATGAACCGATCGCTCGTTCGATTCTGCGACTGAGGTTTACCAGGCCCCTACCTCTCCGGGATCGGCAAATCGGTACAAGGTTTTGTCTGGAACGATAGCAGCACTGAGGTGATACTTCGGCGGGCCACTGCAATTTACTGTAGAGATCAGATATGCATTCTTCACCTATAAAAAAGCTTGATGAAGTCGAATGCATGGCGCATTCCTTAGGGATTGATCAATGGCGAACGCTTTATCCTGTCATCTATTTACTCTCCGAAGTGCCCGACCGCGATCACATTATTGTGGAATCAGCAAATACATTAAATTTAGTAATTGCCAAGCTTCCTGAACAAAATCAAGAAATGAGACTACTGAACGAAGTTTCAAAGGAAATAGTCCACTGGTTTACCACCTCATCATTGTTGCAATCTGTTTCCGACAGTCGGGCCACAATATCGGCGCAAATGCTTCATATGTCGGTGGTAGCAAGCTGAGGTGTTCAATATTATTATGCAGAAGCAAAGTGATGAGTAAACCGATACCAGAAGTCGTCGTCATTGTAAAACGAACCATGGCCCAAAGTCAAAAACTCCCTCCGACCTGCGAAGTTCAACCAATGCTAAGGAGCTCTAGTGAAAACTTTTCCGCCCTGGGAGGATACTTGAAAGTATCCTTTTACAAACTTGTTGAACTGCAATCGCAAATTTTTTCCATTCGACCTCCATAGTTCCATGATTCCACTGCGTTTTGCACATCGCATGGTTCACCCATTTGAGCATTTTGTAGTATGTTGTTGCAAACCAAATACATTATGAGGAAACCATATGGAATTCCCTCATTTTCGAGATCGTTTGGGTTTCGTATGTATTTCATCTGCGTGTCAAAGTACTCCTTTTCTCCGCATTTTCTAGGATCTGGAAGGAACTCACACGTGATAAGTACGGTTCTCGCAAGCCACAGCCTCTTTAGATTCTCACATTTACGAAATGGGAAAACCCTAGATTCAAGTAAAAACCAACACATTCATACATTACCAGGATTGTCGCTGGGCGTAACTCGAATAACATAACAACACAGGAAAAATTCTCCGCTACCTCACCACTTTACGGCAATCCAATGAATATAAGCCCATGATGAGAACGCTTTACAAAGATTCTATTAACTCTCAACTTGTGTTGAAATCTCCGACAGTAACATTTTTATTTTTTTCTTTTTTTTTATTTTTTTTATACGACCGTCTTCCGCATCAAATGTGCGGATCCCAGCACCTCTCACATTCGATTCGTTATCTCGTATCCTTCATCCACAATGTTCTTCCAACTATTTACGCGTGAAATCGGCTTCAGCTTGAGGACTTTCCCATTCATCAACAATGCCATGTAATGCTGAACTAGGCGATCCCCCTGGAATCCTGAGATAGCCCGGCTAGAGCGCTCCCACTTGGACTGCAGAGAGTGAACTTTTCCCAGAACTCCGGTACCAATTTCCCGACCCAGGAGGAATGATAGGCCCGGTGAGCCCGGACTACATCGAACCAGTACCGTGACAGTGATGATCGGCATCACTACCTCTATGTTATCCACTTATTTACCTTGCACTGTTTTGTTCTTCCTCTGATTTACCGTTCTACTAGAAATGCCCTAACCAACTGTAAGAAGATTAATGAATAAAGGTGATATTCATATTGCAGTAGAATATAACGACGTGAAAACGCAAGTCGTTAGAAACACAGACGTCGCAACATTACGATTGTGTTCCATAACTTCTAAGCAATCTTGAGGAATATGTTTATAACCGTCTCAGAAACACGATGAACAAGCTTAGATCATATATTATGAAGCCTGTACGTCCAATAATTCATTTAGTGATATCAAGATCATTTTTCGTAAGGATACTAACGACTTTCTTTAAGTGCCTTCTCAGTTCGGTGGCCGCCCTCATTATGATGAACACATGTGAAGTGAACATTGTGAATTTCAACTACGGCCTCAGCTTAACTGGGTTCTGGATTTGAGCTCCCCAGATTAAACCCGTTAACAGATGATTGCTGATGCCAGAAGATCGATAGAATTAGCTGAGAGACAGGCGAAACGAAGGACATGCATGGTGCGGTGGTGAACGTGTTAGCCTTCGGAAAGGACAATTGCGCTTTCGTTCCCCACCGCAGACACCTGGGGTCCGGAGTTTTGCAAATATCTCAGCATCATTGTGGTTGTTTCACATGTGATTTCTAGTTGAAAACAGAGAAGGAAAACCAAAGGGTAACTGGTTGCTACCACATCCATGCAGAACTAAGGTAACCTGTTATATTTAACATTTCCGTATTCGCGCGTTCGTCTGTAAGGAGAAGTCAAAATTGAGACATCGACAGGTATCGATGGAAATAAATTCTCATAATATAACAGCTAGATCATCGTTATATGAAGTTGCACGGATGCTTCTACCATACGATGACTAAAAGTTACTACTAGATTTCAACAAATTCTGCAGCTATAGTTTAACCCTCAATGAGCATTCGGATTCTGGAAGAAGTGGATTTATTACACTACAAAATGAAAGATTTAATTACGAAATGGTAAAATTTAAAACCTAATATTTCTGCTGTATCGCATTACATTACTATTGTTTCACTGAACACTTCTGAACCATGATGTGAATTCATACCTTATCGAGATCAAACTTTTGATTTGCAATTCGCAGTGCATTTGTGGTCTGAGAGAGTACACCCAGCACTTCCATGTTCATACCTGCATCTTCAAGTGCTGTTCTCTGTGCTTCGATTTTTATTAAGACCTGTAAAGTACTAGTAAAAATTGAAGTGAAATCAAACACAATGTTTCTGAAAGTTATAAAAGTCCTTTATTTATCTGAACATCTAGCTATTTTACATCTATTCCATTCAAAGATGAAAGGAGGCGAGCACAGATGAAAAAAACGATGAAATATCAGCAAACAAGATACCTCGCATAAAAAGCCAGCTTCCTTGAGACCCTAAAAAAAAGTGTCCGAGCGTGCGAATCATAAAACGACTAGTAACATCTGGCTTCCCTTTGACGTTCCGGCTATTTGAGTAGGCGCCAACAGTCTCTATTTGACTTTGCTGTTCCAGTAACACATTGAATTTCGCTGTTTCGAGCAATATGAAGAACACCACGCTTCCGTGAGGCGTGTTCATAAAAACCAGATGACTTAATCATTAAACCAGTACCTTTCTTGCTATGTTCCTCACAACTAACCCGCAACTACCAGACCCAGTTGGTTTTGGACATCATGGCGCCGGGCAGCATTCCTAACCTTTTACACCAATGTACGCCTGAACTTCTGCCCCGTTCTCCAAACAACCATCGACTTTCGTTTAAAATTATATAGCTCCATTGAGAAGTTACAAACGATCATAAAGACAGAAGAAGATAGAATTGGCTGGAATGAACACGCTCAGTGACCGTCCTCTCGCACCAAGATATGCGCCTCCTTATCCAGAACAGTGCCATAGTCTATTCCACTTGGTTTTCGACAAATTGGCATATGCGACGTCATCGGCGGCTCCGAGTCGCCAAAGCAGTTTGGAACTCTGGTTTTCTTGTCTCATCTGTCGGGATAATGCTACCACCGTCATTTCTGTAGGGTGCTTAAAGGGTACTTTCACCTCGAATGTTTTCGAGGTATACGTTGGAGGAACAACTGAATCAAAAAGGTGGACGGAAATCGATCCGCACGATGCTCTCCGTTCTCTTAACAACACTTCTTCTCCAACAACAACTCTTGGAAGTCCTCAAAGATGCGCGTGTTCTCCTATTAACTCCATCATCTTTACTTTCCGCCGCAGATATAAAGAATTGCTGGGACACTTGTCTTCGAATGCGAGCTTGCCAAAAGAAGCAAATCGACTTCAAATGAGCGCTTTCTTAGACGCAGCGCCCAAAAACTCCACTATATTTTGTCGCAAAATTGTACGACGAAAACGAAAAACAGAGCAAGGACAAAAAAGAATGCTGCGAAACTTACGACACAACTCTGAATACAAGTTCTATTCCTTGACACTACACAGCCTTTCATAAAAAGGTTACTATAAGTTCACTTCAACCCAAAAAAAGAACAAACAAATTCGTTACCCCGTCAATCCTTGATAACTCTCTCTCATGATGCTTTTTTCGTTTCAGTGCGGCCAAAGCTAATTTTTTGTTTTTTGTTCCGTGTTTTTTCGCATTCGCAACTTCCTGAAAAAAATAGAAAAAATATTCAGATTCGACAGATTCCGAAATGGAAATAGGCATTCTGGCTAGGAATTTCACCACGGTATTTTCGTTTGGTTTGTTCTGAGATGTCTGAAGAAGTACTTTAATCCTCCTAACCTCAACTGATAGTAATGACTCGATAACGTTAATGCCAAAAGAAGTGCTATTCAAACTATGTCCTAGGTAAGTTTAAGACCAAAGTTTACTCACAACACTACAAATTGACCGACCACCGAACTGGCACAGGAATTCCTTGTACGGAAGATCTCAGTGTCGCGTGGCGGTTTAATAACCAGCAAATTTTGCAACTTATCATCCCTATGATAGTGCGCGTGTAGCGCAGTGTTCGGAGGCGCACTGCAGTAGACATGGGATTGATCCCCGCGCCCCTCCCGCCAAGCCTTCCAACCTTTCTGGTTCGGCAAATTAGTATCAGACTTGTCTGGGAAGATAGCAGCACTAGCTCGACACATCAGTAGGCAACTGCGAGTATTTGTAAAGACTTGACATGCATTCAATCACCTCCAACGATGCTTAATGAAGTCGAATGCATGGCGCATCCCTCGGGGATAGATCAATACCAGAAGCTTTTACCCTTGTTTTATCATCCGTATGATAAAGACGGTTGGATTCTCTATTTATGATGCATTAGGTTACTCAATAAACACTGTGCACTCATGGAATCATATGCATGCGAATGTGGATGTGCTATCTTCTACGCTTGTTACCACTTTTTTGTACCAGTCAAAACTCTGGAATAATGTCACGCAGAAATTCAAAGCAGGTGGTTAGGGGTAGCCTCCCACAGATAAGGTAACTATGAGTCAGCCTAGCAAGTTACTCCGAAGTGCTTCCACAACGTGACAGAGACAGACTTAAACAGTGCGCCTTAGAGTCTCACGGTAACTAATGGAGTTGTAAGTTACATTCCATAATCATTTGTTCCATACTTTCGAAGCTAACGAAAAAATTAACCTTCCACAAGTTTCTCTCTCTCTTTCTATAACTAGTTCAGCACAGATTTCATTATTCAGGGAATGAAATCATAGGAACACCTACCGCTGCTATTTTTTCTTCGTAATGCTCCTGTTTCTTCAACAGCAACGCCTCGATATCACGTAGATTATTGATGGCTTCTTCAGCTGAAGAGGTGCTATGCTTACGCTTGCGCTTTTTATGGAACAGTTTACCCAAAAATGGCATTTTCTGAAATATGTATAAACGCTACACTCAAATGATATGCTTCAATAGCCGTACGTTTTCCTTTCACCCACAAATCATTTTTTTGGAAGCAGTGCTGCGTACAGATAAATGCTTCTGAATGTCACAGAGCCAAATAAGAAACACTGAAAGAAGCAAGTTATAAATGAGACCCTGTTCGAAAAAAGCTCCGATTTTACTTCACAACTTCAAAATTTACAGCTTTCGTAAACCACAAAAAAAACCATAACTTCGGACGTATCGTAGAAACTGAAATGATTACTAGCGAAAAGCCGTCATCAATTAAAAGTGAGTGGGAAAGTAGAAGAAGAAAGAAAAGCCTACTACGCTTGAACTATTCCTGTCATAAAGCTTTCAAGGGATTTTTGAACATATCCGTAGAAGGTTTAGATTTCTGATTAGGAGGGCATAATAATATGGAAGAAGTGTCTTATTGCAGAAACCAATTTTGAACAGCACTATTTACAACCATATAAGTAATAGTTACCAAAACTTTAGAACTAATTTTAATAGTAACGCTGACGATTCTTCAATACGATTCAACTGAACACCTAGCATACTGAAATAGCAAAAACCAGAACCTCAGTTGGGCTTCTAACCCGAGATTACGCTCACAGGAGTCTCACGTGCTGTCTACCACAGCAACCGAGTATTTTGTTTTGTCTTTCTCTCCGACATGTTTTTGCTCTATCTGAGCTATCAGCAATCATCCGTCGACTGGAATGGTGTTGTGGATAGCACGTGCAGTGGAATATGAGGTTGGCTCGCATATAATGCTGAGATATTTGCAAAACTCCGGACCGTAGGTGTATGCGGTGGGTAACGAACTCGCGCTGTTGTCCTTACCGGGGAGCAGCGCACTTCACCACCACACCATCCGGGTCTCTTCGTTTCGCCTGTCTCTCAGCTAGTTCTATCGATCAGTGCCATCAGCAATCACCCGTCAACGGGATTGATCTGGGGAGCCTAAATCGTGAATGAACCCAATTAAGCTGAGGCTGTAGTATAAATAACAATGTTAACTTTTTTTATTTACTGCCTATTACAACTTTCACGGCAGGGTATTGTGTGATTTATGCACAATGATGCTGTGATATTCGCAAAACTGCGGATCGCGCGTCCGTAGCCGTACACTCGGAGCAGAAAGCTGACGACCATCACCTGCAGGTTCTTCCCGCAAAATTCATGATGTTATAAAGAGATGACGTTCGTAACTACTACCAATGCATTTGTTGAATTTGCTTAACGAGCCGTCCACAAAGGTTAACGTAAAGTGAATCGCGAAGAAATGGAGCGAAAGGCAAACTACAGAGCAGATGGATTTCGCAAGTGATCTACCTTCATGAAGCATATAAAAACACTATTCATAGTCGTAGAAGTATGAAGGGAACACTATCTACCTTTGGTCTTAACCTTTTCTGAGCGTGAGAAAGCATTTCTCAGTATGTGAAATCAATGCAATCTTGTTCGCCTCAGTTGACCAAGGTATAAACAGGTCCTACATGAAGACGATTTCTGGGAGGATCAGACATAGTACCAAGGCGACATAGTTTTTTCATCGAACACTGAGTCTTCAAACTGTTAAAATAGTTTCACCAAAGATATCCACCACTGTGTAGCAGTGATGTATAAAGCCAATCGATTGAGAAGAACTAGAGGCATGTTGATGGGCAATTCTTCTCCACCTTTCGTTCTATTCACGACATTTTCATTTTTTCCAACAGCACCATGGAATCAGAAACAATGCTTACCAACAACAACGATGCTAAGATATTCGCAGAACTCGGACTCCGGGCCAAATCGAACCACGATCTCCCTTTCCTGGGGCTCCCGCATTACACACTGCGCCACTGAGATCCTTATTCTGCGTTTCTCTTTTTTCAGCTAATTTCTCTACCTAACCCTGCCATCAGCAATCACCCGTCAGCACGATTGATCTGGGAGCCCCAATCGGCATTGAACCTAGGTAAGTTGAGACTGTAGTCGAATTTTGTTTTCCCGCTGACGGGTTATTGCTGATTATAGCGTTAGATAGAAAAATAGCCGATAGAAACGCAGATCAAGGGCCTCCGTGGTGCAATGGGTAATTTGTGAGTCCATGGAAAGGGAAATCGTGGTTCGATCTGGCCCGGGGTATAAGTTTTGCAAATATCTAAGCATCCTTGTGGTTGTAATTCACATCATGCCCTGCTGTAAAAATTATACTACGCAGAAAATAAAAGGTTAGCAGTGCTTGCCAAGCTCAACTAAGAATGGCGAAAGTGAAACCACAAACCAATTAGAAGAAAATCTGACTCATCAAGAAAACTGGATGTATTGAAAAAAAGTCTTGCATGGATAATCAATTGAATACACCACCATATGCCTCAGAAACTCAATACATATGAATGACGACTTGAGTGAAAACACAGTAGAAAGCAAAAAGAAACGTGGACCGCACTCCGGTCTCCGGTAGAGGAAACTGATCAGCATAGTGAACACAAACCACGTGCTCACTTATTTGATCTAACAGTTCTTACAGCCCTGTGCTATGCAGAAAGAATATGAACAGATTCTACGGCCACATAAAAATACGTTGCCTACAAAATACAAGATACTTCTACTATGTTTGGTGGAGATAAGCGCAGCACTGAACAGCAAGCCTGCTTCCCTAGTTTCTATTGTCGAAAAATATGCTGACTTCAAGACCCAACAAAATATGTCAAGAAATAGATACGGATCGCTCAGCTATACGATTACACAGGCGGATAAACAGGAAAAATATCCCGAGAAGACGTTCTCGAAAAATTTCTAAAGAATATAGCGCCTTACTGCATGCGTTAACCAGTTGTATTAAAACCTGAAATCAATTTTCAGATTACAATGAAGCAGCCGAAACCAACTGCTAATACAACTGTCTCCATGGTTGACGGTTGAAAGACAAAGAAATGAAAATGATGGGCCACCAATTTACATAAGTGGCTAGCCAGTCAGTATACCAGACTAATGACAACCTGGAGATGATCGAATCTTTCTATATGGCGGGCGCCATAAGAACCAGAAAAATGACGAAACAAATGATGACAACCAAAGTCAGCATTAAGATGCTAATTCTCTAGCACCCATCTTCTAGTGAGTGAATTAAAACGGTCACACCAGTTGCGCTTTGTGTGCACAAGACCGAAGCTGCTTTTATTGTGATGATTCATGCTTTGTGAATAAACCTAAGACTAGTTTGCTGTTCTTTTTAAGAGAGTGGGTTATGACCACCACTCAGACACTTTTCAGAAAAAGTAGGTACCTGTCATTGGTAAGACGAAATGTCAGCAGATCCAGAGGACTTCAGTGATGAGCAGAGGATGAATTTCACCTTCCTAGATATATTTTACACCAATTTCCTTTTGTAGATTGCAGTACTAAACTGCGAATTAGCTTTCGTCAGATACATATTATGGGACTCTTAAATTTGTGAAGAAGATCTAGAATTTCTACAGACTAACAAAGTCACGAAATTCGAAGATCCGAGAGGCGACACAATTAGATTGAAAGCATTAAATTTCTTGAAGCCAAACGACGCAAATCAACGTCCACGATTCTGGCAGAGGCAACGTCTATAACTTAAATGCGATAAAAATGAAGCTGTAAAATACGATGATACTGAATGTGAGAAGAAGACCAGGAATCTTTGGTGATTCCTTGGACTTTCAGCGCCTCACTTATGCGACCACTCGCTCGACGAAGTCAACCTCACAATCTAGTGTTCTGTACCACCTTGTAAATTCAAGCTTTAGTAGAGTAAATGATAGATACAAGAAGGAAAGCATCATGCGAAATCTATGTCAATGGGAACACCAACCAGAAACAGTGTCTCGTCGGATAATCTTGGCCACGTTTCTCTTCTGCATTAGTCTTAGAAAAGAACGTAGTTTGTCTTGAAATTGAGCTGCCACAAACTTGTGAGCTGACGAGATTAAGCTTTCATTGTAAAGCTTGATACAAGCACATAAGTCTGAAGGAAAGCAAAGCACATTCAGGTAGCTGGCTAGTCGGTCGGCTGACATGGAGCGCTCCGTTCGCTGCTCTTTTTGGCAAGTAAAAAATTGACTTGATAAAATTCTCAAAGCTAATGGTATTCAATAAATGCTCCCACATAACTGCAATCAGTAACCAGAGAAACATCGGGTTTTTTCTCTCTCAAAAAAAGAAAACAGTAGCAAAGTGGAGAACTCCCCGCATGATGAAGCTCACGTTCACCGACAAATATCAAACGGAAAGGTGTCCAACTCCATATTTGGTAGCGGTCGTTATCGAATTTCGGAAAATCACAATAAATTTTGCACACCTTCCTCCATAAAAGAATGCTAAGTTTTTGGCAGTTTCTATTACCTCTTCACCAATTGATGTGCGAAAATTAGGCAACATTCTAGGTCAAAGACGATTTCATGAGAAGGATCTTCACAGGATTTTCAGCTTAAAACTGTACCAAACTCAGAGTTGTAGGGTTCAGAGCATTTATGAATGACAATGCACCAGCTGGGTCTGCATGTTCAATATTTATTAACGTTTTTCCCATTTCACTGCTTATTCGCATGATAGACCTGTTTTTTTTTTAAATTGACTCCTCTCAGCATTCACATATCTACAGATCTGCTACTTCAAGCGATCGGTGGACAGTACGAAGTGATTTGAACAACAGCAGCACACCGATTCTTCTTTACAGATGGAGTGCAGACTAACAATCATAATCAATTAGTCAAAAACGTGGTTATTTGTTGATCATCTCGGATGATGTCACACTTTCTGTGCCATCACCGCAATGCCTCAAAGGAAATTTAACACATAGCAACAAGAATCTGGTCTCATATAGACCCATGTCGTGTAGAAATAACGGCCGCTTTCAGCTTCAAACTAACATTTCCAGCTCATAAAAGCAAGACACCTCTAGCCATTGTAGGATAAGAGTCCTATTCCAGCTTATAGTGAACTGTATTAATTGAAATAGGAACAATTATTATTATCAAATGAAAAAGCAACAATTTACAGACCTTTCCATCAAAGTGCATTTAACTACTCCAACAACGTAAGGTTCTGAACTTTTGGGGCACAGAAAACGCTTATCCTCATCATGGCTCGTATGGCGAGGTAGTTACGTAAGCGTTATTTCATTGAACAGGACAAACTATTATCACCAAATGCCTTTCTATCTGGGCGATTACCGCGCCTGTGGTAAATGTTTCAATTTTTTATTTTTTTTTATTTTATATGACTCGTCTTCACGACTACTGTACGGGTCCCAGCACTTCTCACATTTGATTCGTTCCTTCACATTCATTATCCAGAAAGGTCCTCCAACTATTACGTGTGGCTTCGGCTATTGCTTGAGGATTTTCATTTCATCTTGAATGTCGTAGAATGCTGGTAGAATCAATTCTCCCTGGAGTCCTGAGATTGCCGGGATAGAGCGTCCACAATAGATTGCAGAGAGTGGTTTTTCTCACGGACAAGTCCGATACCAATTCCCCGACTCCGGAGGGATGAAAGGCTTGGTTGGTGCGGAGTGGAATCGAACTAGCACCATGCTCGTGATGACGGACATCACTACCACTGCGCTACCAGCCCCCCTAACGTTTCAAAACCGTTCTTAGTTTTACAAATTGTCCAAAACATAACTTTTACACGAATTTGAAATGATAGCAATTTTGGAAAATTATGTGCACCTTTAAAGAGCCAGGAAAAAAATCTCTTCTACTGGGAAGATGGGTCACCAAGACCTCGAGTACTCTACTCCTTATCGAACAACTGCAGGAAATTTTTGAAAAGCTATTACGTTAGACTAAGGAAATTCACGGCTGGCACAGAACTCTATTAATCATATGAAGAAATAATACTACGAAATCAACCGTACCAAAACTTTATACCTTTCCATAAAATGGTCAGTAAAATTACTAGGATGAAAAATTGTCTATGAAAGAAAGCCACCTCAAGGAAAAAGAGGAAACTCCATTTCTGGATGGAAACAACATGAGTAGAGAGACACATCAAGAAAAGTACGTTTGAAGAAAAAAGATTTCACTAATGCTATCATATTAAAACTCATAACGTGTTCACTAATGAGTGAAAAATTCGAAATCCGACAATAACTGCATTTAAGAGCCAAAATAGACAAACAAGACGAGAAACAAAAGCAAGGGAGTACTTGATCAACGGATGGTGGATAGCGGAAAAAAAGCAGGTGGGAAAGTGAGGGAAAGCGCCGCAAACGGACAGCGGACAGAGGTCGAGTAGGAGGAGGGGAAGCGAGAGAAAACATCGCCAACGGACGGCGAGTGGCGGAAAGTAGGTGGAGGGAAAACGAGAGAAAGCATCGCCGACAGACCTCGCGTACGCGGTAGTAAACATCAACATGTGATCGAACGAGTCCGAGACGGCCGGCCATCCCGTAATGGAAGACCCACCCGCCGAACAATGGCAGTTAACATCGCGTGAGATGAGACTGAACCGTCTCCGACGGTGACAAGTCGTTGGTGTAATGGTCTCGACCACTGTACGTACAAATACAGCGCTTTGTTACTTATTCATCAATTCACATGCGAAGCCTCGGCTTTGAACCACGAATTATAGAAAGAATAGAAAGAACTCTCTTACGAGAATTCCAAAATACTTCACCTACGCCGTTCTTCTCCACTTTATGAAAACTGTCACATACTACAGCACTAGCCATGAAAGCGTGAGTTCAACAAACTATTCGATCTCTTTGTTCTTTGTGAGGGTTGCTCTGTTTCTTAACACACTGTTACGCTTTGGTAAACGGGAAAAAAATAACCTGACAAAGTCCAATGCTGTTCATAAAATGGTTCGAATTGAGATATGAGAGACGAAGGAAGCTTCCACTTATTCACTCATTAACAGAATTCATAGTGTTTATTTGCTTTACAGTTGTGGAAGCGGGCCATGAGACTAATCGTCGCTGTGCATATCAATTCAGTGTCAATATCAGTCGGCTGATAAGTGCAGACACATGTAAAATCGATACTGAGCTTTAAGGTCTCATAACCAGTTCACGTAAATAGAATTGAACCGAGTAGTTTCGAAACATATCCCGCCAGATGCTCGACTACCCGTTCAGCCGAGGGGATTAAAGATGGTTATTCACTTTAAGAATTTCGAGCAATCGGAATATCAAAGTCATCATCAATAACGGGAACACAGGGCGCTGCAACTTAATCCATATTTTTTTTTCGAAAAAAGTGAATTGGTGATGGAATCAGGATTAGCTTCTAATTTCAAATGGGAAACTAGACAGTGACTCAGACATACCGAACAAATTCCACTTTGTCCAACGCCAGCTCTGCCTCAAGTAGGGACCGCTAGTCCAGCGGCATGAAGACCACCTATGAAGCACTTCACATTTACTTTTTCTTACGGCAGACCATCGACGTGTACTTCATAGAGAGAAGCATGAGTATAGTTACCGATAACACCTTCGTGTGTTGTCCTAGAGGTGAAGCTTGTTTGTTAGACCTATCTCCAACCATGCTATTTGCTTTTCAGACATTTCCGTAAGTCTGGTGCCAACTTGCTTACTCCGGAGAGATGGAAGACTTGTTGAAGCCTGGACGTGGGATCGAGCCAGCGACATCATGCGTGGCAGGGCATCTCTAACCACTGCACTACATGCCCCGACATATATATATATATATATGTACATATACATATACATATATACATATATATATATGAAAATATAAATGCAAGGCTTCACACTGTATGTACGCACGCACATATATATTTGTATATACCCATACATACATATTTGTATAAATACCATATATA